AAAAAAAAAAACATACTGGACTAGCTTTAAGTCATTATTCAAAGCGGAAATCTGTAGGAGTCAAATTAAGGCATTAGCATGGAAGCCTGGAACTTTTACCGAAATTGAAATGATGTGAGAACATTATTTTGTTCTCCATTTGACTCGGCATTTCCAAGGAAGTGGTGAAATACAAAATGTACCAAACGAGAATACAGATAGCAAAAGTAAGGCGGTTGTTTGAAAAAATAACATCTCCGAAAATCATAAGTTTACGAAAACAAGGAAGTAGTTACGTCAAACTGTGCTAAAAACAAATATGAAGTCAGGAAAGAACCATTAGTTAAAAATCAATACTAATTAACTTCAGCCAATTCGACGTTTCTTTTCAGTTCAACCCCCACGATACCACCTTATTAATATATCCATATATATTGCTCATATTGATTAACATATTGAACTTTTCTCTGCTTCTCTAGATAGCGATCACCGAGGAATCCACTCCACTGTTTCATCATTGGTTGACCAACATAACATCGGTATACCAGAATTATATTACAGGTGAGAATTAAAGGATTGATATTTTATCCTGAAACTGTTCTTTTAAGCCTATGGCTCTTTGATTTTACATATTTATATCCAACAATTTCAGTTTAAGTGTATCCAGTGTTAAACGAACTACTTGAATGAACTTATATTTCTTTATATGCCTCAGCGTTTTCTGTGGTCAAGTAACTTAAATTTGCAGTCTATTCCAAAGACAAAAACGGTTTTTTATTGCAGCAGATCTTTCTCGGTTATTGCACCAAGGCTATGGAACGACTTACTAAATGACATTAAACAGTGTTCTTCTGTGGACTGTTTTAAATCACGATTAAAAACTTTTCTTTTTTAGAGACCGTTTTAGATTAGGGTTTTTATGTACAAGGCTGTAAGAGGCATTGGGAGACCTCAAAGTGATGTATAATGCGTTTTTAAGGACCCAGAAACTGCAAGGGACCGCATACGATAAACGCTGCCAACGTTGGATCTACAAGAGATCTGATCAGCCAAAAAAATGCATGAAGACAAACAGCAGATTGCAAGGCTAATACTACGTGAAAAATGTCTCGAGACACCAACATGACAAGAATCGATAAAGTGGGATCGCAACAGTGGACAGCTGTTTCGCCCTTCTTGGGGCCCGTCAGCACTGTGCAGCGAAGATATGAAACGCCAGCCCAACAGCCAACGCACATAAATTGCAAAATGACCCGTTCACTATATCAAGTTCCGTACTTTGAACACACTTGCGCCCCGAAACACGCGTTGCCACACCACGTGTTTCGGGGCGCAAGGAGACAAAGTATGAAGATTGGTGTCTCGAAAAAAGCATTTCACAACAATAGTTTATGCAAAATTTGGGGGGCAAACAGAGGGAATTATGGGCAATTGGAAAATAGAGAATGAGCGCGTGCACGAGCGCGCGCTAGTGACACTATAAATTATGCGCAGTAAGGATGCGCAATGCAAATGTGAGGAGGGGCCAGCAAAACACAAGTTAAAGTTTCTCTTACCTAATAATCAGGTATCACTGAATTATTGGACCTCTTTTATTTGAAAAACAATTTTAACTTTTCCAAGAAACCTGGAGTAATTCCCTTAGCTTCTTTCATTTCATACAGTAATTTTTGCTGCTTTTACAAGGAGGGGAGTGGGTTTTGTATTTGAAACTATTTCGAGGAGAAGCACTTAATGGGGGGTGCTTGGTAAACGAGGAAATAAGATATTGAATGGATGTCTAAGTAAAACTGGAAAAGAGGATATTTGTCCGCGAACAGCAGTTTATTTTTGTTTTTAACTCCGGTTGTTATGATTATCAGGATACCAAAACCCACGAGTAAAGATTGTTATGTAATCAAGCAAGGCACGTGCCGACACGGTTAATGTGGTGGTAATTGGCGATTTGCATGATGGCGTCATTTGACTACAACTACCAGAATCCTTCATCTTTTCTGTTTCTTATGTTAATAAGGGCAATTGTCATTTAAACTCCACTGGGAATTCAAAATTTAAATAACAAAGAAACAACGAAAGGAATTCTGGTAGTTGTAGTCAAATGACGACAACGTGCAAATCTGTTATAACAGTTTATTGAAACCCTTACTTATTTTCTCGCTCAAACTCAAGACCTAAATGCAACTGACGCCATTCACTGTAGATTTTCAATGAACAACAGGTGTTGTTTTCACGCACCACCTCCTCCCTTATCCAGGCCGCGGTGTTTTACGGCAGTTTTTGTGCGTCTACCTTTACAACACTTACGTAATTTTCTAACCAGAGTGAAAGTGAAAACTAGAAAGTTTTCAGTTCATTGTGACCTTACTGTTAACATTTTTACGTTATAACCCTTGAGTTATACAGCGGCAACTGCCGCATTTGCTGTTCTTTAAAATATCATGCACGAGTGACAGTATTTCATCATATTTCCAAACGCCGAGCAGAGGGTGTAGTAGCGGAGTATTTTTGACAAACTTCGAAGGGTTGGAAATGTGGTAAAACACTGTCTGGAGCAACTGAAACTAAGGCGTAAGAATCTATGCTAACTAAAATCAGTTATCCAAACATGTTCACCGCCGCGGTTATCATTTCCTTTCTTTAAACTTGATGAGTTATAAATGAGTCTGAGAAGTCTCGTGGTAACATTGCTGACGGTATTCATTTCGCATAAGATTTCTGCCAGGGGCGTAGCGAGGTTTTGAATAGTTGTAGGCCTGTTTCTAACGCGCTTGAGAGTCGTTATTACGCCGAAAGGCGTGTATCGAGCGCCGAAGGTGCGAGCTTCTATGGGGGTCCGGTTGCATGCTCCGCCGGGAATTTTTTTTACCGAAACCACTAAAACGCTATTTCATGCATTACTCAGATTCGAAAAGTGTTTGTAAAGTCAAGATATATACTCTGAATTTTACCATAATTTTTGAACCAGGGAACCAGAATTTTCATAATCCAGTATATGGTCATTTTGTTTGTCGTGAAGTGCAAATTGACCGTTTATTTGCCATGAATGAATAAGATCTGAACTCCCCTTTACCACGCACACAAATTTGAGATAGAGAAAAACAATTCCTAGAAGGGTTGCAACCACCCAACCCTACTCCTGGATCCGCCTCTGGTCACTTTTAGATATATTAATAGAACCACTGATGCCACTAATCATAATGCATTTGCCGCAGAGCGGCTCGGCTCACGCCGTTTTGCTCAGGTGGGATCGGGAGTCCCCCCCCGAATGAAAACTTCACTTTTCANGGGGGGGGGGCGGCCCCCTCGGCCCCTCCCCTAAATCCGCCTATGATAGTACATTGTTCGTCTGTAGCATTCACTGACTGAATCAGACGGAACATTTCCTCGATGCGATTGCCAGCCAGCAAGTCTGGGTTTGGTACGATAATATACAGGGCGGATAGGCTAAAAAATTTGTAGGCCCGGGCCCAAGGGCCTATAGACTCGCTACGCCCCTGCCTGCAATCACGTGAACTACAATTTGTTTTGCTCTCTCATTGTAACATTATTTGTAACTTTCATTGCTTTTATGGCTTCTTATATAATAACGGTGACTGGTGATTTGAACAAAATTCATTGATGACAGTTTTCTTTTACAGGCCAGCTCAAAGAAACTGCCAAATACCCAGAGATACTATGCTGCATCAGATGTACATGTACCGTGTAAGGAGAAAGGAGAATCGTTACATCCTCGCATGTAATTAAGTGAAAAGTTCCTGGTAACTCTTCATAAGAATAACACACCATGGCAGCCAACGATGGAGTTCTATCAATACCACTTGTTGTATTTGGAGTAACCTACTACTCCCTGATGTTTATTTTGTCAACACTGGGCAACTCTTTCGTTCTTTTTATCTGCTACAAAACAATAAAAAGACGACCGTCCTCGCTAAAATGGTTTATCGCCAACTTAGCCGTAGCTGACCTTACATTTGCGTTATTGTCTACATTTGACTTGATAAGTTACGTATGGACTTGGGTTGGCGGTCAGCTCTCCTGTAAGCTGCAAAGTTTTTCCATCGAGACCTGCTACACGGTTTCAATGACGACCCTTGTTCTCATAAGCTTTGAACGTCTCAAGGCTGTGGTTGAACCTTTCAGTGTTAGACTGAGCACTCGGGAAACTGTGTACAAGAAGGTGATCTCCTCATGGGTACTGAGTGTCGTTGCTGCCTCGCCTTTACTTTATGCCTACCAATCCCACGCGGATAACAGCGGTGCAGTGATTTGCACCAACAACACACTCGGAGATTTAGGAAGACAGATTTATTATGGTATTCATGCTGTCTGTTTCTTCGTCGTTCCTCTAATTTATATGATTTATGCCCAGAGCGCCATTTTTCTAACTTTACGGTCAAACGTTTTTCTAACGCAAAATACCTTCTCAACATCGCATACTAAACGGCATCTCAAGGCCGCCAAGCCTCTAGTGGCCCTCACTATAGCGTTTGCAATATGTTGGTCACCATTTACAATTGTTCGAGCGCTGATTTACTTCCACCTCACTGATGAAGGGTATGTCTGGAGGGCGTCTCAATTGTTAATTCTCTCGAACACGGTCTTAGACCCGATACTGTATGGAATTTACGGAGGAAAGCTAAAACCTTTTCTTAAACGTTTGCTCCCCGAGAGGCCTCAGACTAAGACACGAGTCGCGAGAGTTACACCGCAGAAAAACGACGAGACTAATAAAAACAGCCAGGGGTACCACGTGACATGAGCACGTGATATGAAAAGTCAGTTGACCACATCCGAATTGCCTGTGGCCTTTATGGTAAAACAAGTCCATTGATATGAAAACGTGCCCAAAATCAGATTGAAGTGAAAAGTTTTGCACAAGGACTCGTTTTGAAACAGAGAGGCACAAGATAACTCGGAAATGGCGTATTCGTTTGCCAGTAAAATTTGAACCACATTCCCTAAAATTGCATTGTGTTGTAGAATTTTTTTTCCTAGAGGAATACACTTAAGGTGATTACTCAGTAGTGCATTGCGCATCCCTACTGCCCACGGTTTTCATGTCATTAGCGCGCGTACATGAGCGCATGCGCCTACAGGACATAGGAGATTTCCCTCAAACTAAGCTCGACAGCAAAATAAATGCTTCTTTTCTCTTAAACAAGCACGGTGACCCCCACTTTTTAATGCATGAATTTAAATTACACAAGGTTATCTACAATATATCTCAATTTGAAGAAAAGTTTAAAATTCTGCTTAGAAACATTTTGATTTTAATACCTTAAAGAACAAGTATTTAGGTAGTGCTGGGTATGTGTGCCCGCAGAGAATTCTTAAGTTTGTAGTATAATCCTAACTCCTGTTTAACTAACGTGGTTTGACATGTAAGTTCAGGGTCTATTTTGTTTAACTTCTCCAATAAATTAATCCAATAAGTGTTTTTTTCTTTAGAATTTCTGGTGCCCCTTTCTGATAACTAACGTTAAGTAATGACGACCTCGTTGGTCACAAAGTTGTTACAAAGGCCACCCAAGTTGTGCAAAAACGAGCACGGTGACACTATTTTTTACTACATTTTTCTGATATACATAACATGATTACCAACTGGATGAAATACGCCTTCTTTTTAACCGCAGTGGAATCACCTTAACATGAAGAGAGGTCGGTTGAATTGCCATTGACAGTGGGTAAACTTAGCCTAGCAATTGTAGTAATTCTCTTTTTGTTATACAACAAAGCGATATGTGTGATTGGATGTTCAGATTATATACACTAAGAAAATAAAATAATAATAACTGCATTAGAACAAAGTAAAT